ATAGAGACTCTGGGTTGGGGCACCATCGGAACCAGAATGACTCTGCCCCAAGATGAGAGGGACCTCTGACCCCATCCCACAGGCCCTCAGGAAGGAGACCTCCCACTAAAGGCAAACTCCGAGAGGGTCTCCACGTGGAGACACAGTACTAGGAGCTGTGGGTCATCCCAGATGAGGCGCTGGCACCCTGTGGGCATTCAGATGAGGCTGGGATCAGACAGGCTTTTCCTCCGCCACCGGGAGAACACTTCCTGGGCACCCCCTGCCCAGATGCAGGCCTCTAAATACACCCCCACTCTCACAACCTTTAGGCCTTATCTGAGATCTCACATCAGGAAAGAATAACTCTCCATGAGAACGGCAGCAGCTTCTGCTAAATTAACATAAGTCATTACTTCCGCCTCAGATCAGATTTCACGTCTGGATGCGGGTTAATGAGTTTCTCCTTCTATTCCAAGGACGCGAGGTTCTCTCTCAATGTCTGTCGGTGGCATGTGGCCCTCCTGGGTGGCGCGGCAGGCTCTGATCCCACGAGCGACCCTCCCCCCCACCTTCTCTCATCCTTCCACCCACTCAGGGCAAGAGCCAGCCAAAGGGACCAGGCCAAAGAGCAGCACAGGAGGTGAGCGCCCAGGGCCAGCGCACAGTGGGGCGCAGGAGGGCAGCGGGTGTAGGGGTGGGGGCGGCCAGCTCACCTCACCCTCCACACACTGGCAGCCGTGCACAAACCAGGGGGTCCCCAAGGTTCTCTTCAAGCCGGGCAGGAAGGCTGGGTTCCCCAACTGTGTTCCTCTAGAGCAGCAGTTCTCAACCTTCCTAATGCCGCGACCCTTTAATACGGTTCCTCATGCCGTGGTGACCCCCAATTTCACTGTTACAAATTGAACATAATGAAAGCATAGTGATTAATCACAAGAACAACATGCAATTATATATGTGTTTTCCGATGGTCTCAGGCGACCCCTGTGAAAGTGGTTGAGAACCACGGCTCTAGCGCTAATGGAGGTTCCACCAGGGAGGGTCCGCGGTCACGGGCACCTGGGAACCACCGGATTAGAGCTATTGCGGTCCTGGAGGGCTCCTCAGACCAGGCCTTGGAGCCCCCTGGCGTCCCTCCGAACTGGGTGAGACCCACGGGCCCAGCACTCACTCCTTGTGCCTCAGTTTCCACCTCTGTAGAGTGTGCACGGTAAGGGTCATCGCTCTCACTTCTACTATCATGATAGCGCCAAGCCTGCTAGCGTGTGCCGGGCCACCGCGACGGCCTGTGAGCGGAGGTTCCCTCTGCTCGTCCGCGAAGTGCCAGCCCCGATCCTTGCCACACGCCTGGGGCTTAGGCAGCATCCCTGAGCCCCGACAGGCGCTGAGCTGGGGGCATTTGTACAAGGAGCCCGGGTGTCTCCGCAGACCCTGGGACAGCACAACCAAGTGCCCCCAGGTCTAGCACGGCAGAGGCGTCCTGGCAGCCTGGGGCCTACTCCCTAAAGCCCGCCCACACCGAGGTCTGCTCTCTGGAGCCTACGGAGAGGATCCCGGGCGTGAACGGCGGGCATCTAGGTTTTAGTAAGTTCCCTGTGGGAGCTGGATGCCCAGACCAGCGTGGGCCCTGAGGAGGGACTCTCGGGCCCCCTGGGTGTCTCCAGGATCTACGTTTCAGGGCAGCGGAAAGAAGACCCCCCCAACATAACGGAACCTTTCCGAAGAGGCGTCGGTGTTCTGAGAGGCAGTGGTGCCCGGCCCCCAGCAACCAGGGAGCAAGCAGAGCGGGCCGGGCCCTCTGGGGGCACGAGTTCTGGGAGGTGGAAGGGACCAGCTAACCCTGAAGCGCCCTGTCTCCCTACCATGTGGGCCTCAGGGCACGGGTGGTCTCCTCGCAAACCTGGACCCCCCTGCCCCCCCCCCGTGCAGCAGCCCCTGCCCTGCCGCACACCAGCCATGCAGCTTCCAGCCCTTTCTTCCCAAAGAGACCGCAGGACCTGCACGGCAGAGGTGCCCGCAGGTGTGGGGTGACACCCTGCGGTCAAGGGGCACCCCAGGACCCCTGCTTCTTGAATCCAACTCTGCTTGTTTGGTCCGACTCGGGACTAAAAGTTCCAGTTCAAGTGGAGAAAGAGTAGTGGCCACTACCCCTGTACCTGGAGCCTCCTCTCACCTGCTACGACCAGGCTCTAGAAGCTTCCTGCCTCCTGCCTCCTGCCTCCACTTCCCAGGAAGGGTCTCTGGCCTCACCACGCATCCCAGAGGGGAGGTGCCCAAACCCAGGGAGAGTCTAACACCCCAACCACCCCCACACCCAAGTTCTGTGGTCTGTTCCCAGCACCCGGCCTGGGAGGCACCAGAAGCTTCCAGGGTCACCCAGCCACCCCGAAATGCTGCCTCGGGAGGTCTGGCTCATCCATGTGCAGGCGCCCCCACAAAGTGTCTCCGCGCCACACGCTGGCGCCTCCCTGCCCCTCCACACCCTGGTCCTCCTGCCAGCACCTGCCTCCTTTTTTTTTCCCCCCCGGGGGCGCCTCAGAGGGACCCCCTCCTCCAGCGGCTCCGTGAACAGGCTCTCTGGGCCGCTAACTGACAGCACAGAGACGATCCTCGCTCCCCCGCGGAGATTTACAAGGGAAGTGAAATCTTATTTGCGCCGCTGCCAAGCCTGGGAGGCGATGAAATTATGCCTGGAGAAGGGACCCGGCCGCTCCTCGCGGAAGCGGCTGCATCGGAGACGGGCTTATTAAAAGCCACCGTGGCCACATTTCAACCTGTTTCAGGTGTTAAGTAATTTACTGCCGCCCAGAACTCAGCGGCAGGTTTTCATCATTTTTATTTCCATGATGCAGGCGAGAGCCCCCGAGAGGTCCCTGCACAGCGAACTTGGGTCTGAATTCTCCCTGCCACCCACCCCCCCCAGGCACTGCGGAGGGGAGCGGGGAGCAGGGGCTTGGGAACGGGCAAGGATGGGGGCTCGAGTGGCAGCGGACGGCCCTGACTCATCCCAGGGTTACACCAGGCTTGGCCAGAGCCCAGCGCGGCTGGAAGGGCAGGCTCTAAGACCTCCACCCCACATTTGGGGGCCCAGTGATCCCCCCAAGACCCTGTGGGCGGTTTCTGAAGGCAGCAACAGTACAGACTCCGTGAGAGCAGTCAACCTCTATCTCAGGACCTGACTGCCAACCACACGATCCTCAGGTCTTCAGTGAGCACCTACTACGTGCCAGGCCCTGCTCAGGCGGGAGACACAGCCGCGGACAGGGATCTCCAAGGCCCCTGCCCTACGGGGCTCCCTTCTGCTGGGAAGTGCTGAATGAATATTTGCGGTTGGTTGATTAAAATCTCCGAGAGGCAAGTCAGCTCTTGGAAGAAAGGATGCTGGCATGGGGGGCACTCGAGAGGGGAGGGGCAGGGAGGGAGAGAGCCCACCACTGAGCATCTGCTCTGTGCCAGGCACTGCAGCCGCCTCGAAGCAGGGACCTCCCCGTCACAGCCAGGAGCCGCAGAGCCTCTGGGTGCCGGTACCCTGCGCCTTTCCTGGGGAACATGCGGTGAGGGGCCCGTCCCCCACCCCTCGAAACTCTCAGGGGATGCACAGCCTCCTGTTCCCAGAAACTTCGGACAGGGGCCGTGCTGCCTGGGGCCCCGGGTCACAGCAGTGCTGGGCGGAGGGCTGTCTGGCTCCCGCCTGCATGGTGGGGGTTAGCCTATTATGGAGGCTCGGGGGCTAAGCCG